AATTTGAATACAGTTGCAATTGGTACATTAACCGTAAAATATAAGAGATGCAATTATTGGTCCATGCCCAAATACACCAGCGTACATGCAAGATGATCTATTTAAACGTCTACACACATAATTTAAAAAAATATATTTTTAAATAATAATATGCTGTCATTGTAAAATAACAATTTTTTTACATTTTTTTATCGTTTTCATAATAGTCATAAAATTAAAACTTATACGTATTTTAAAGACAGATTCACGCAAATGGAATTTGTTAGCTCACGAAAAAAGAATATTTTTATGTTTGCACAGGGTTATTGTACTTGTTTTTGAAAAATAAAAATTTATTATAATCATATATAATTTTAGACATAGGTACATTTTATATTTGTTCAAAACTACGTGCACATGACGTGTTAAAAATATTTTATTTAAAGACCTGTCCAGACCATACAATTGTATAAAACAGAGWAAATTTACTGGATTTATTTAATTTTTCGCGAACGAAACCATGATGCAGGATTCGCTAATAGACACGTAATACTATTAAAGTATATATTACTTTCACTGATCAGTCAACTYTCAACAACATAATTTGAGTCAAATAATATTTGTTTTGATTACCTAAAGACTAGGTCAACACGTAATTTTGACATCTGCTTTAACCCGTTCTTAAAAATTATGAAGTGACATCAGATAGAAACTACTTATAATATGGTTCATGGTCATTATATATTGTATGTAATTTTTGATTTTCAACAGGACTCGACTCGCGCATTTTTGTTTGTTCTACAATATAAAGTTTTCATAGATAGGTAGTGCATATTATATACAATACATATAGCTCTCTTGATCGATATATGAATAATTAATATTTAAAAGGCGTCGCTGTGCGAATGCTATGATTATCGCATTCACATRCCACCATTAAATCCTCATGAATTATAACCAAAATATTGACCTCTACTACTTTTATACAAAGCTTTGTGTGAGTATATTGATTTAAATTAAATTCTTTGCAAAAATATTTAGTCAAATATGCAGATATAAATAATAAATAATAATAAGATAAAATTACTCTGAATAAAATATTCTAAATATATTATTTTAGATACACATAATATTTGGTACATTTGGAAATCACGCACTTGTAAAATATACAATATAGCTATAATATACAATCTACAATCCAATGYATTTCGATGATTATAATGTCTTCGCTAAGTTTCAATAATTTCTTTAAGTTCAGATTTCAGAAAGTTATAATTACAAATATTACAATAATTATATAATCTATCAGATCTCATCAAAATAATGGTTATGGGTATTGGATAATAATGTAATAAATAGACATACAAATAATCATACAGACATTAAACACATTTAAGTTTTGATTTCAAAATTAACTAATATTATGAAATTATATCATTAGTAAATATTTAGATATTATATAGGTACATGCTTTAAGTCAAAATTTTTAACGCTRGATGGCGCCAATCCTTAGCAGTTTCCGATTCTACTGACCTGGAGACATTTGAAATATCTTTCCTTAGCCCGATCGGCCTGACCAACCACCACAAAGTGGAAGACTTCGCTCCTAGTCTTTTTTTTATGATTTTTAACTAGGATATTTGGTACATGACTTGTAATAGCCCACCAAATAAGGTCCTAATAATTATCACTGATAACTTGCAGGTAAATCAAAACAACTTGGCCAATTGCTAAATAAAATGACACTTGAAATTAAATTAAATAAATGCATATACATAACAACSTTTTTGTCGGAAATGGAAATTATTTAAATGTAATCTTTTATAATAACATATAAATAATTAATCCACAAAAAAAATTATGATCTAAGTGTTCATTAGACAAATGCCTTACTACATTTTATCTGGTGGCTAATCCCCAGTATTCATAATATAGTACACGAAAAACGGAAAAAATAATCTCATGATCAACAGAAAACGGTCGCTCCATCATAATCTAGAAAGCAAATCATCAAAGCTCACTTTGCAAACGAATCAAAATATTTAAAATCTCCTTATTAAGATTGTATGGATGTATGAAATACAACATTTTCCAAATATAAGATTCTACCAAACATTTAAATATTCTAGTTSAAAACTTCTTCCCAAACCACAATATTCATTCCGATCTTCAAATGCAAGTTGCAGTAAAAACACAGCCACCCGTCTATATAGTTCAATAGCCAGAAATAAACAATATTATAACAATAAAAAACCAATTATGAATGTACATACGTTAMAATTTAACTGAAATAAATAATACTTGAATAATAATGGATTTTATTATACTTTAATATACTAGATTAGTATATTTGTTAAGTCCTAATTATAACTACTGAAGTTATCAATTTTAATATTGTATTGACGTAGGAAATTAATGCTGTTAAAATTGGACTTTTGGCTTCAAAAATATAGTATAAACTACAAATAGTGAGTAGGTTCTAGTCAAAATAAGCTCTCTAAATAGGCAATAGTTCTTAATTTTATTTTGTTATGTATGTTATTTTCACTGTTGAAGTTTGCWCCAAGATCTAAGTCAAAAAATCAAAATACATAAAAGATAATATAAACTATAGTAAATATAAGGCGTACATGCTTATTAATTACTATAAATTATTATAATATAATTGAATATACTTCACAATATGATGTATGAA